CGTGGGAGTCTTGAAGCATCGGCCGTAGGCTAATAACGGGGGTGAATAAGATTAGTTAAGTAGACGCTGAAAATAGCTTCCGCGGGCAACGGCAAGTGGATTAGACCTTGATAGAGTCAAGAACGAGAACCAAGGAGAACGAAAATGACACGGTATTTATTTCACCAACCAACCTGATGGATAAATTACCCACTAGGGACATGATTGCATTCCACGACCAGCAAGTCCGATTTTTAAGACAAATCAGGCGTCCACGTATTTAAATTTTGGCGCCTATGTTGTCATGCACACCATTTCATTTTGATCGCAGACCCTTGCCCCATCCCATTGGCCCACTATCGCATTGATTTCATTAGCTGTTATGATTATCCAAGGCCCACGATTGGGACACTGGAAGTTTGGTCAGCCGTAAAAAAAAACACTAAGATAGTGGGTCGGAAAGGTTTCTGTGAAGATTTTACAACCACGTACCATAGAACCTAGTCCAGTGCTACTACTTCCACCGCCGCCGCTACCGCTACCGAAGGCTCCAGAGAGTGGCTCGTCGTCCTTGGCCTCGGAGAGCGCCAACGCGCTGTCCTGACCCTCCGAGGTTCCCGACTGCAGTGAGGTGCTGCCAACAGCCCCAAACTCGCACACAACCGTCGGCGTGCCGCCACTGTTGAAGGCTGAGTCCTGACCTCCACGGTTTCGGCAGCAACCACAGCTGAAAGCAACAGACATGGTTACGAGGCTGCAAGTGGTGGCAGTGGTGGTGATGGTACAACAAACGTCACGTAACACGATAACGGCTCTGCGAGTGATGCTCTTTGGCTTGAGAAAATAGAGCAAAACAAGTAACCTGGAGCAAGCATTTCAAACAGCCTTTATGCTACTTAATTTGATGTTATGGAGAAGTGGATATAACGACGGTGTTGAGGTTAGCTTGGCCGTTAAGTTGACGCATGATTTCGAACTCTTTCAGTGTCGGAGAGGGCGTCTTGTGGTGAGACATACGAAGGAAGAGGGGTGCTTCGTGATGCGTCTAAACATGCCCAAAACCAGAGGCAGAATTTACACCCAAAAGTCCGATCTAGGTACTCGTAAACGTTCACATTTTGACAAAAAACCGTTTCTGTTTATGCAGGCCAACCACCGAGGGACTTGGAAAGGTTTGTTTACCGATTTGATGTATCAGCTGAAATGTGTTTAAACAGGGCTGAGTTGAGCCTACATCCTGCACACCGCTAATTCTCACTGTTTGAACGGGGTACACCCACGCGCACATGACATGCCCGCGTGGGCGGTGGTTTAATGACCAATTGCAAGCCCACCTGCAAGGCAGGTCGAAGATGCCACCGCCGCAGACACGATTGCCGTTCGTGGGAATGCAGACAGGCGCGGACTGGCAACCGACCAGAGGCTGATCGATCACGGAGGAGGTCGTGAGGGGCGCAGCGCTGGTCGTGGTGCCAGATGGAAGGGTCACGCCGGGGGGGCTGCTCAGGGGGGATGAGATGACGCCCCCCATGGGGTTGTCGTCGAAGAGGCCAGAGCCTCGCTTTGTGGTGACGTTGGTCGGCGCCACCTGGGTCGACAGCTGCATCTGCCGCAGAAGGCAACTCAGTGGCGACTGGGTCAAACCTTGGAGAGGGCCAATCAGACATTTTAATCAATAAGGGTTCAAGTTTGGTGCGACTGTCAGGCATGAGAGCAGATCCACGTACTTTGGAGACCGTTGAGCTTGAAGAACTGGTGGTGGTGCAAGTCCTCGGTGCTCGTGTTGATGGTTAGTTGAGTGCGCAGTTCATCTGTGATGAGGGAGTTGAGATACTCATTATCGAGGTTGTGTTGTTCTGCTTCTACAGATCTGGATTGTTGTGGTGGATCAGCAAACCACCACGGTGCCGACTGGAACGCGGAAGTTGGCGTCTTCGGCGCAGACGTCGTTGGTGTCGACGCTACCGTCGGTGACTGGGCCGGCTGACGTGGTTGAACTTTGGTGAGGCATCGACCGGTACTGCGTTGCTGTGATTGCAGAAGTTGGGACTGCAGCAACTGCTGCTGCTGTTGTGTTGTGGTTGGTGTGGTGACGGCAAGACCGCGAGCATAATTTTCCAACAACGCGCCAGCGCTTTCCACTGAAGGCAAAAAGGGAATTCTAGGGATTAACCAATGTTTGGAGTCGTGGACGCCCTTCCACCAAATTTACGCGCTTCTAAGACACTGAATGTGTGCGATTTTAGATCTACAAGCCGTTTCGTAGACTGCAATTGGGCTGGGGTCAAGGCACCAGATTGCCACCATTTAGACGTCGCAAAAATCAGTATTGACGAAAATTACGAATAGTGAAATGGACAAATGAATACTCTAAACTTGTCACTAGTAATTTTCAAGAGCAGTTTACCATGTCATTAGGCGTGTAAATTTCCAAAATCACCAGAACCAGTTTTTAAAACTGAAAATAAACGGTTCATCATAAAAAAAGCTTTGATTAAAAACGATTAAGTGGTTATAGCCAAATAAAAGTAATCAAAATGGAATCGCCAAACTTGGTAAAATTTTGTTTAAATCGATACTACGTTTGGGGTGACACGGCGCGCTAATTAGTCTCATTAAAATACGGTGAAAAGTATCCATGTTAAGCAAACGGAAGTTATTGGTGATTTGGACAATTTGGGCGTCAAGGCATTGTGGTTGTCGACCACGATCAGAAGTAGTGTTCAAATGGAAGACTTAACGTTAAACAAAACCTCGATAAGAAACGCCAGAGCAAAACAGTTCTGCGTGGCCTTGGCCAAGGCCACGCGATTGGCCTTTTCAAGGTCACTTCTCTCTCAAAGACAACATTTCACGTCGCGCATGCGCCTGCGTGAAAACATAAAACGATCTCTAGAAGCAAGTTAAGAATAGATCGCTAGCCTCGGAGGCGTGTATTTAGCAACGTGAACAGGAACGATGAAATGGCGGGCGATGGATGTGGAGGGGGGGGAGGAAGGGTTGGCTTACAGCGCATGCGCGAGAACTTGGAGGTGTCTGCGGGAAGCTTCTTGCGTGATTGTTGGGCTGCGGTAGTCCGCGGCTGAATTGGATCGGTTGTGGAGGCGAACGGAGGGGACTTGGTGGTGGCAGTGGTGGTGGTGGAGGAGGAGGACAACATGGACGTCTGCTGCCCGACGAAGCCACTGCGTCCGAATCCGGCGGGTGAGAAAATGGGGAAGGCGGAGATCACTGACGGCTGAGACAGCGACAGCGGCGGCGGGGTGCTCTCGGACTGGTCGAATGGACTTGCGGTAACACCCAGACCCTCGGTCCCGCCACTGCGATGACGCATCCTTAGCTTGAGGCTGCCTGGAAGAGAAGGACATCATGCAAAATGCGCAGCAACGAACAGCAAAATGGCAAAGGTACCTCGACAGGTCAACCTCATCGATGTAGAATCATTGCATCCACATCTGAGTTCGAATTGGACCCTTCATGGGTCAGGACACGTCGAAACCAGTCACAGTACTGCTAGAACTTTGGAATGGTTCAGTTGACTCAACAGGTGCCGACTTGTGGCTCACGTACTAAGGAAAACGTGAGTTGAATTTGGAGATAGTCGACTTTTTAAATAACCTTCAATTGTGATGGGCCACTGGGTGCTGCCCAGGTTAATAAATTCTCCAATTGGGTTGAAGTGCCTCGTGGCATTCACGATGGCCATCTCTCAACTCCCGCACTAGGTGAAGGGGCACGTCTGAGTGCATACCCTTACGGGCCATCATCATCATCATCGTCATCACACGTCACTTCATTCATGCGCGTGTACTTCTCAGAGTTCATTCGAATCCCATTGGCTAATGACCTTGAAGGTCGCGTCCATGTCGTGCGCGTCAGCACAAATGAGCTAGGCCGTTTTCTAAGCATTATCCAGAGGTTTTCTGGTTGCGTGGAATGGACAAACATTCCGCCCAAGTGTCGATTTGCGTTTAAATTTGGCAAAATAATTCGGTGCTGGAATCTAAGAAAACACGATGATTGCTGATCTACTGATGCAAGACATCAATGCAACTCCCCGCCACAAAGCAGACAAATCGCCAAAAAACGCGGGATTTGCAAACTAGACATCCTACATGGCAACTCGAAAAGTACGTGGATGGAAGCAGCGAAGGATCGGACGACCTTCCACGTTCATGGACGGTAATGGTGACTGGTCGACGAGACGTGGCGCATTTGGACGTTTACACAGTCGACAGATGGTAGCCATTAAGGTGAAACATCAGCCTATCGCGAACGACCCCATTTTCAAACATGATTGGATGGGGTATTGTGGTCTATTTTAAATATTTCTCTAGCCTGCCACTAGAACATGGACACGGTTTTTCAATCGTCACAAAAGAAACGTGATTAAATTCTGACAGTAATGGCTTCTGTTATTACCCCAAACGGTGCTGTCAGTTAACGGGAGAAAAGGCAGCATTTAGGAAGTTGTCTGAAACGGTGCCTAGGTTACACACGCAAAACACGTCTGGTTGCATGACCTCGAGGTAGCCAATGAGCTTTGAGAGTATAAAACATCACTCAAAGTGGATGTCGCCATGGTTAACGATAAAACGCATAAAGAGGAGTTGGTAGCCATGGTGAAAGACTGTAATGGGGCTCGTTTGAGCTATAAATTTAATCGACCTCACACAATACACGACCTTAATTCACGCACACTTCGCCGGGGTAATGCATCTAAGCATTTTAGATTACGCATCCATTCCAGGAACATCCAATTCAACCCGGCCGACGAGTAGGGACGTATTGGAAATCGTGGAACAACCAATGGGGGTTTTTGTGGAAAAGAAACGATTCGAAGGAAGGCAGGAGAGACTAGCAACTTTACAACAACTCACCTACGTATCCAGAAGGCAGAAAGTACAGATGTTTGAGCGCTCAATAAAACAAGAGAGCTTCTGCTCTGTAAAACATAATAGCTCAACACACACACACATTCTAATAAGTTATTTTTGTACTTCGATGCACTTTAACGGCAAAGCGGACTTTTAAAACCTGCAAGCACTTGAGCAAACACCGTTCATAGTTTTAGACTACACTAAGATTTGATTTAATCATCATCATCACCGTAATGACACACCGGACGAAGCCACGTGTTTCTTTTAGCTGCAAAAATATGTGGGTAGACCAAAAAATAGACCGAGGAAACGAAACGGCATTACCACCGCGCGATTCGACACAATAACACGTGTGCTCAGGCATAGTGGGTGGTTTTGAGTGGGAACCACCTACATAGTGGTAAACGGCGACTGATAACAGTCAGGAAGACAGCAAGATTGAGACGAAATAGCACGTCATGGCTTCAGATTGAAACAGCTGCTTCTAAGAACCTTGGATTTGTCTCAACCAGCGTCAATCTTTTCGCGAGTACTCAATGAGCGTTGGAAGGGAGTCAGGTCTGAGTTACGTAATGACGCAAAGCGTGAGGTGGAGGCATTTTGGTGTGGATGAAAGTGATCGAAAAGGCAGATGGTGAGTTGGGAAGGGGGGAAGGGGAGGGAGGGCTTACTGGAGGGGTAGGTTTGCGTGGCGTAGAGGCCTCCGACTGGTGGAACCGCCGCCGCTGACGCAGGCGACACCCTAGAGGGGCACTGGAGCGGTCGAATCGCCGGGGAGAAGATACCCGACGACGACGCCGAGGTGGACGACGAGACGGGCGAGGCGTTTTGCTGCCGCGACGACGACGACGGCGGCAAACCAGCCTGCTGCTGGGTGGCGGCGCTTTGGATGAAATTGCGACCCAGGGTCATCTCGCTGTCGGAGTGCGCAAACGCACAAAACGGTCCGCGCGGGCAATAGCCTGAGCTAAGCACGTCGTTGCACTTCGTGGACTTGTAAATCTACGCGGAAAGGGGAACGGCATGACTTTGAAACAACGACCTTGAACACAACCACTGGGCAGTGAGTTCCTGGGACCCCAGCGAAAACCAACCCTACTACCATTGGGAGATCTGCTTGCATCTATTAGGTGTGTGACTCAATTTCTACAGATTTGTTCTTCGAGATTAAAATCATGTCTAAAATAGAAAGGATCCGATACAAGGTTGCAGAAAAAGTCTACGTGAGTTCCATAACCTCTTCGTGTCGATGTGGTGTCTTGTGAAACGTGTGGTGATTGGAACAAACGTTTTAGAAGTGGTGATTTCGATCTCAGTGGCCAGCCGTGCCTCGGACAGCCTAGAAAGCTGGGAGTTGAGGGATTGAAAGAGCTTGTGGCTCAATTTGGAGTCATCCAAAAACCTATTTTCACGCGTTCGCACCACCAAGTGGGAGAAATTCACGAACTTGGAAAGTGATTCCCACATGTGTTGACCCAACACAACCTGTAGAAATTAGGTCAAATACCAAATAGAACCATTCTGGTGTCGTGTTAAAATGATGAAACTGTTCTTCTTCTACCTTTAAATGGAAAAGTGACTAAATGAAACAAGCGTTTGGAGTTCTTTTACAAGAAAACTGTCTTCCCCATAAGATGCTGGCAGTTATTTGAGGTCACAAGCCAGTCAACCTGACACAACTGGACTCCTTTCACTTCTTGACACAGTTAAGGACATTGCGTCGGTGATTCATTAGGACAAATGGGCATGCCACGACTGCGTGTTGCGTGGGTGTAGCGGGGCACTTTTTACAATCCCTCCAGCGGGGAATTTTGACGAATAGGTTAACTTAAGATGAGTTTGGAGCTGAATCGAGCGCCAACTAGGGACAGCAGTGACAGTTTACCAAATCCTTGAGTTCCTCGTTCATATAAACACAAGGAGGTCAAATTACTTCAAAGACAGATTGGAAATGGTAACCTGAGTTGGTGTGGCATCGAGTGGGTGTAACTCGAATTGGCGCTCAACGTGCGCGCCAGTGCAGTAAAACAACAAGACGACATACCTCAGGGTGGAACTGCTGTTCAGTTCGGGTGTGGCAGTAGGTGCAGGAGTCGCCGGCTTCGCAGAGGGAGCTGTCTAGCCACTCGTCGGCGGGGCGCACCACCGGACACGGGGTGCTGCGGTAGTAGCAGCGGTCGGGCATCCGGCGCTTGTCCTTGCCGTTGTGGTAGTAGGGGCACGAGTAGCCCTGACGACACATCCGTGGGGGTTTGCGACACGACTCCGTCTTGTAGCGCGCCATCACGTGGAGCATGTCTGTAGGGAGGCACAAGTCAAGCTCAGACACACGAGCCTTAACGTCAAGCTACATTATTCAATTTTGACCACAGTTTTTCCTTAGTTGGACGGTAAATTTTCCTTTTGCATCGACCAGATGGAAGGTGAGAATCACGTGAGTTTTGTCGTAGGCCAACCACACGCTCCTGGCGTCGCAAACACGCAAACAATGTCGACCAATGAGATGGCAGGACGGCTACCAAGGCAGTCGACTTTCGGTAGCTATTGACGGAGCTTTTAACGAGAAGGGACGGGCCCGGGTATATTTTGAGAATGCTAGGACGCAATACACACACCTTTCGTCTAACTAGAGGAGGATAATCACTGACAGTTTACTCAAATCTGAGAGGGTGCCACACTACTGAAATGTCGGTCATGAGTAGCAAGTACCGAACTGACGGGACAAAATAACCTCTTCATCAACAAACCCAAGGTGTAAAGACCCAGGTTTTGAATATGACAGCACAAGTAGTTGGGAATATGTACTCGATTTTGATGTTACAAAGATTTAAATAACAGAGCGATTTGATTGGTTAGTTACACACACACGCACACGCTAGAAGCGTGTTCTGCGTTGTCAACAAACAGCGAACGAGCAAACGAAATTCCCATGCATGATTGGTGTTTTTTGCCTCCTGGAGGCATTGGATCGGGTTTAGGGAGAAAGCTAAAAAACTGTCTGACCTTGTTTTCAGAGGTAATTATAGAGGCCGAGCGATAACAGACGTTTGGTGGTAACATTTCGACGGACGTGCACCGTTTCTACGTGTGATTGTGCGCGCGTGACAGCAGTCAGTCTTGTTTAAACAAACATTTGCCTGTTTTCGTGAGTTGCGACACCGGTTGGTTACAACTGGGCTTGATCGATTTAAACAAACCGTCTACTACAGGTGCATCGTGCTCTCAAAAGGAACAAGTGAAAAATCGCTTTTCGTCGGTGGATTTACGGCGGCTTTATGGAGACAAGTTACTCCTCACGACGTACTCTGTGTGCTTTTATTTTCAACTGGTGGATATTTTGACCTCCTTTCCATTTATTGAATGAAAATTGAGAACGTTGGCCTTATAGGTAAAGCATATTGCTAAGTAGAAGTGCAGGCGAATCGCTAAATATAATCGACTGTGGACAGAAGCTAGTTTTCATTCAGGTAAGTTTTATGTGTTTAAATTAGATAATATCACCTTGGCGCCAAAATTGACAGAATTGGGTAAAGGACTAAGACTAGACTTTAACTAATTGAATTCATTGATGACACTTTACAGAGGAAAAGCTTGCTTTGTTTGGGGATCAGTTGCTTCGAGTGGAACGCATTTAAGCCTGCAGTTCGTCAAGCTCACTTGCTACTGAAATCACAGAAAAGTAGCATTCAACTGAACATCGAAAACACGGCCACAACAACAGCTTTGCAACACCCTTGTGGCAGGGTTATCGGGTCGAACGTCACAATGACAATAAACAACGACCAAAACGAAATAAGGAAGATTCTAATGTGAATTGAATGGTAATGCTTGAGCCTATTTTGTTTTAGTATCCTAGGAGGTGGTACTAAGTTAAGTTACTTGATTTCGCATTACAATGATATTAGTGACGCAACGGCGCCTGAATTGGTCCCTTTTAATGACTTAGGTGTCCTTGGGAGCAGCCAAATCAACCATAATTCCGTTGTTTAAATCGCAACAACAACCTTAACCATAGGAGCTAACACTCACGGTTAGAAATTGCATAACCATAGCTGTGGGGCGGTGTTTTGCTGACTTTACGAGAAACACAAATTCCAAATTTACTAGCGTACTCCACGGTTTCTGGGGGCGAGAATCGATGTTTACTTGGGCACCAACCAACCACTATTTAATGGGAGCAACATTGCACGTTTCTTTAAAAAAAATCGTGGCAGTTAAATTGAGACGAAGCGGCTGGTTTTGCGTAGCCAATGGGAAAATAACACGAGTAAGCAAGTCGTGCATAACGAAACTCGCAACACGCCTAAAATAGGAGGAGCTGGTTTAAACTTAGTCCGTGCGGCGTTAAATTTGCGCAGCATTCACACCAGCACACATATATTCCTTCAAACTTTGGGGCCTGATTGTGAGTTTTGGAAATTTGAAATGTGGAATTTCCAATGTCTAACTGACAGCAACGGGAATGATAGCAAATGGAACTCAAATGACAGACTGGATAATAATTCAACAAACTGATGACGAAATAGATCGCGAGTGAAAAATGCGTCTTGTGACTGTGTACATGTGCGATGTTGGCCACTTTTGGTGTGATTTTGTGTAAAAGGTGAAAGCCGAAGAGGGCACGTGACACGCGCACAGGCACGACTGCTGACTTGTTGCCTTGACCGTGAAATGGCAACGTTAAGTGGGCACGACTATAAGGCAAATACTTTATTGAATGAGGAAACAAACAAGCACAATCCCATTTGTACTTTAGAAACAAGAGGTCAGAATTCGACCCAGGAAACTGAAGCTAAATACTTATAGGACGAAAGTATGGAAATTGACGTTCGACGGCATTCGTCACCATGAAAAGAGACCGTCGGTTATGCTGGGAGGTAATTCAGAGTGAAAACTTACCATTCCAAGTGGGATCCTCACTGAGAACGCGTTCCTTCTCCAAACTAGCGGGCAGATTCACCGTCACCTTAGAGGACGTGGCGTCTTGAACTTCGCGGATATCGTAGACAGGCAGTCGCAGATCATCGGGTCCATGAGCGAAGGCACAATGGAGTCCGTTTTTAACACAGGCACCGATCTCGGTGGTTTCGTAGATACAATTTCCGGTCTTAAAGTAGCGGGGGTGGTAACGTCGCTCGGTGTCACCTGCGTTGCGGTGAGCATATGGACAGCTAGAAGCAGGGACGACAGATAAAGAAGTTAAAATGAAAATATAAGGACCAAACACAACGCGAAATGACACCGGAATCACCACGTTAAAGCTGAGAGCACCGTGACACAGTCATTCATTTACGCAATATCGTCAACGCTAAATACAAATTGCTAAATTAACCTACTGCCCGAATATTTTGCAACTAATTATAAACAGATCGACTACTAAAGTTTCTTTCGATTCTTTCAAATCAATTGCTCTCATTAGCAACTTAAATGGTAAAAGGCGAACTAGAGAAAAGGATGAAGTGAGAACAGGCTTGGACTGTTGTCAGAAGTCAAGAAAGAAACAAAATCGACCAAAAATCCAAAAATATAAAGGCGTAATTCTTCACAAAGTCTCAGTGACAATGTCCTTCATGAGCACACTATCAGTTAACTTTAAAATACGTGTATCAACATTACATTCTAGCCGAAACTTTGAGAAAATAAAAAAGCTGTCATCTCGTTATATTATCTCGTGAACTAAGATAAAATGTAAAATTTAAAATTAAATTGAATCAAGCACGGATGCGATTCGAGGGTAAGAAAAATAAAGCAAGCAGAAAATTATATTAGGAGCTCATGATATCAAATTACAAAAAAATGACTAAAAATAGAAACAAAACCAGAAAATCAATAGGAAAATGACAGCAATGTTATTTTTGTGGTTTTCATGACGTTAACACTAGAGATTATAAATGCTATTAAAAATACAAAATGAGGCCCTGAAATGTGAAGTAACTAAAGTTCTGACCAAGAAAAAGGATGAAAAACACCACCACATGCATCAAAGAGACATTCATGACGTTTAAACACATCATGCAGATAATTCAATTAAAACAATGTCTAAGATATCTGGATGGAGGGAAATGATTTCAAAACATAAAGTTGGCAATGAAAAGGAGGAAATGAAGCGCGTGTAAGCAAATGAAAGGTTGTTTCATTATTGGTGGGAAAACCGTTCAGCAAACACCAAAAAATACCTCGAAAAGCCAACTTACTCATCTCCATCAGGGCAAGTGCCAGAATTTTCATCGTATTTATCACAGTAAACGTCCGGGTTGTAATTAAAGGTGCCGTCGGCCTTCTTTATAGGCCGCCGTCTCTTTTGATTTGGAAAGTGCCAATAAAAACAAGTATATGGTCGATGATTATGACATTGCTGTTCGAGAAACAAAGGACACTGAGTAGTTCTAAATTCATTCAAGTACCTAAAAATAAGTACAGAAGTCGAAGGTGTTACTTTAAGTGACGAGGTCTTTCCATTACATCAAAGGGCAGCCGATTTGTCTTAAAATAGCTATATGGATCTAAATTAGTCACCATAATCATAATTGCAGCGCCGAGTTTCCTTGATCGGAACAACACCCATACGAAAAGCCCAATCACCGTAAAAACGAAGAATAAATACCGCAAAGGCCACAACAAAATAGTCATTTATCCATTAAAACAATCAGTCATTTGATTACTGTACTAGCTTCATTATTAGTTTTTTCAGCACAAACTTCAACCGAAAATATTAGAAATTTTTAGAGCTATGTATTTAGACTTTTTTCCCTCGACTTTCCTTAAAAATACAAAAGTTCAACAAATAAATGCGGCTCAGAAAAAACGAATATATTCATATTCACAAAATACTAGGGTTCTTTAATTTTAAATAAAGAATCATTTCTGCTATATGGTTTTATTTCAAATGCAATCTATAAGGTGTAAAGTGGTTTTCGATCTGTGCTTTTGTTTCATTCAGGATAAAATAAAACAAAATTAAAGGCCAGAAAAAGGAAAATGACAACTGCGATAAGTTAAGTGGTGTAAAGAACATTACTAAATTTTCTTGTTTTAGATTCCATGTATTATATTTGCGGACAATGTTAAGGAAAAGACCATGAACCATACTTTGAAAAACATTTTGAAATCCGAATTTCCAGAAACCGTAGCAAATATTTTGCTGTTATTCGTGATTATAAAAGCAAATTCATCTAAATGTTCGTTCTACTTCAGTAATTATGATTTATAATTATGATTTTCTTATTTTTCAAAACGCTTCCCTAATATTATTCTGCAAACTAAATTAATCAATTAATGACTTTCTTTTTCAAATTGTTAGCCCACCGGATTTAGAGCTTTCCCATTTTGAATGTTCCTGGGATTTGTCATCAATTTTAAATGTCTTCCACTAATCTCATTGACTTACCGAATTAAGCCTACCCTTTTTGAAAAAGCAAGACATCCTCAATAACTTATCTGCGTAACTGGTACATTAATTCCTTTTTTATCAAACATCCACTCTAGACCCCTTCCCAGCTGACAAATTTATCTTAGCCTTTAACATGGTGAAGTTAAATCAAATTGAATCGAAACGTATCATTTTGCGCTTTGGCCTTATCACTTGGCGTCATGAATAATCCTACAACTTTGCCATAATTTTCAGGGCAGTTTTCATAATTAAACTGAACTTTAGTATCATCGACGTTCCAATTTTGCCTCTTTTCCCAGTTTTCCGAGATCAATTAATGGTGCTTTTGGGGCCTGTAAAATCAACTTTTATGTAATTGTTGTTAATTGAAATAATTTCCCAATATTCTCAAAACGCGAAAGACCACATTAATCGAGAAATCGCATTTATTTGCAATGAAATCAATAACGATCCCAAAGTTAAGCACGCATGCTTAGGAGATTTAGAGGGAAAATTTAAGTTAATGGCATGACAAACGGACATCAGTTGAAACCAGTGCGGCTCTACTCAATGAAATCTGAACACAACTGTCCAACCAAGCTAAAAGCACATGCAGGAGCTACACAAAGATTTTGGCATATGGCAATAAAGATACCACAGATGCCACCACGTTGTCAATGAACACAACCTCCGCTTTGTAGATTATAAATTAGCAGTTACGTTTATTCAGTTATCTAACACCATCCAAGACACGTAACCGCTGAAGTCGAGGCAGAAAAGGGAAATCCAAAATGCCTGATAATTCCAATTTTTGTTCGTCAAAAAAGTACCTTGAATGGTTGGGAAGCCTGTATCACCTCACATAAAAAGGCTACTGGGAACGGTTGTTATGGTCGCCATCGTAGGCATCTGCAACAAACTGCTGTCATGTTGAATATTCCCGGATTTTAAGTGCTACCTTTCCTCAGCAAATTAACCCCAGCTAGTTTGGCATGTGATGGTCACCTGATAATAAAACTGCCACCTCCCTTTTCCCATTATCATCGCCGACAGCAAACTTGGCGGGATTGCACGATGTATTCACAATTTTACTTTAAGTTAAGATGTTTTGCAAGGACCTTTGCTCCAGGGAGCGGGGAAACAGTGATTAAATCATGTCTTTTACTCAAAACCTCCTCCAGCTGCTTGCAGATGGACGCGTTTCCCAGCTCGTAAAGTCTACAACGAGAGGCAAGCGATTAGGGACAAAAGGAATGGGTACTTGAAGGAGGTGCGTGAGTATTGACTTACTTTACCAACACGAAACACGACCGATTGCATGTAAGCCACGCCTGCATTGTCTGCTCCGGGACCAACTCACAAATAAGACGCCCGAAATCGTCTAAATTAATGAAAGAACATGATCGTGTTTGACAGCAAAACTAGAAGAAAATGAAGATGAACTTGAATTTGAACGGTTGCTGCAAGCTGTTGGTCAAACATGGCCGCCTAAGTGCACACATTTGAGGCATCTTTTGACTGTTTACATGCTATAAACACGGAGACACTGCTCTCGCGTACTTCCCTCCTGCACAGGACACGCCACAAGGCACAAACACATACAACAGTTCACACTGAAGTGAAAATGGGTGGAGGGTTAGAAGCTTACGCGAGTCACTCTTCTTTTCGCTCTGAAGTATTCGACTGACGAGAAGCTGGCCCTCGGGACGTTCCAGAAAGGGAGCGTCCACAGGGAGACCACCCTCGGAGGTTGCTGAGGTGTCCATGGGTTCCGGACAGGCCTCATTGGCCGCCCCTTCCTCCTCCTCCTCGGTGTTCTCAAAGGCCTTCACAGTCTGAAAGAGATCAGTTGAAACGTCAAAACGCACTATCCCTTTGTTAATTTCGCCGAAGCGAGAAAACGACGCTGAACATGAAGACTCTGCAATTAAATCGACATGAGACAAACTCGCAACCTTACGCATTGATTTTATTTTGGTGTGAAAACCAAACCGCGAAGCTGCAGGTCACGGTTGCGCCACAGACTTACCACTTTGCGCTTCTTGATTCCTTCTGACTCAGCGATGGCAAGAGCGCGCTTCCTGCGCTGGGCTTGGAGGTGCCGCCTTGCCTCAGCAGACGCGACCGAGTCACGTGAGAGTGGCTTCAGGCCAACCGGCTTGAAGTCGGGACCAGCGAGAACTGCGGTGACGAATTTTCGGAGAGCAGCTTCTCTCAACCGCGCCAACTCCTCCAAATCGGCGGCTGTAAAGATGGGCGCTGTCTTGTCACGCGCCACGGAGAGGCGATCCTCCTCCTTAGAACCGGTTCGCCTGAACTGCGACATCGCGTTTGATAACTCGAGTTCGTAAACAGAGCTGAAGTGAAGCAAACCGACGCGTGAGGTTTAGCCTCGACAAATGGGAAAGAGCAAGTGTCAGAGCGAACGAGAAACCGAACCTTCGAATGAGAATCTCAGCAAGCAGCACGATCCTAGATCGATCCTCGAGCGGCGCGGGGTTCTCGGCGTTGCCGACGAAGAGGGGAATCAGGTGTTCGTCCGACGCGGCCAGCCGCAGCAATTCTGGCATCAGTCCGACGAGCGGAGCGCGCAGTTCGAGGGCTCGAACGGCGAGCGGTTTCTTTGTGAAGGGCGACTCGTCCCCGGGTGCGATCAGGGCGTCCAGCAGGGCCGGAGCAAAGTGTCGCCGGTCGCGTGGCGCCAGCGCGTAAAGTATGACCTTCCGCGCGTGGGGATGGGCCACCACATCCTCCAGGTCATCAAGCAGCTCCTGGAATTGGCGAACACAGAGAGTACGTCACAACAAATTTGGCTAGCAGTAGCACGTGGTGGTGAGGTTAAAAGAACGAACCTTTATTACGGTTTTTGCTAACAACTTGGTGTCATCAACGGCGTCCAACAGGCCCATTAGGAAGATGTGACCGTGTTCGTTCTCGGCAGTGGAGACGATGCAGGTTTTGAGCGACTTCAGTAGCGTCTTGCGGTCTTTCGGGGGGCAGATCCAGAGGACTGCAAGGGCGGCTTTGACGCCCTCGCGTGTGTGCAACATGGAGACGATGCCGGCCTCGAGAAGAGTCTCTACTAGGACTTCCAGACGATCTTCGCGGCGCGGACCCTCTGACGCCTCGGCTTGTTTCGCGGCCTCCTTCTCCTCCTCTTCCACCTCGTTGTCCTCGTTTTCACCGAGAACCAACTTTGTGGTTGTCTTGGGCGTTGAGACCGTCTGGAGTTTGAGTAGATCTGTGGACTTCAGCATGACTGTCAGATATTCCAGTAGGAGGTGTTGGACAATGCTCAGTCGCATCAGGCCCCTAATTTGGAGATGTAAAAAAAAAACTGTTAACCGATCTCGCGTTTGATGAGAAGGAAAACCGCGCGTGTTATGCTAAATCAAGCGGAATCACAATGACTTTAGACATTGACACTTCGCTTTTACCGCGTCGTGCCCAAAATTTGCGATAATGTGCGCAGCCGGACACCCAAATATATCAGTGAAGATTTGCTTATTTTAAAAATTCAACGTGACCTCCGGTGGATCACTAGAAAATGACTCCATCGACATTGATGAAGTACCTGATCAGCACTACAATATTGCTTTATTTCAATAAAGTAGCATCGGAGTTTGAAAGTGAATAATCGTAAATCAACAATGGAACGGTTTCGGCAAGGTTAGAGTAGCGAGTGATATTCTCTGGGAACAGGTGTCAGAGGTCAGACGACTTGCAACTCTCGGTTGACGTTTTGCAAGCTTTTGAACGCCGCATTTGCATCAAAACTATTGTTACAAGGCAATTATCAGCTTCTTCTTGGAAAACAAATATTTTATTTAACTCAAATTGCCTTCAGAGAACGAAACAGAAGAGTCAAGACCATTGGGAATACGACGGGTGCAGTGTGCCTTGAGAGACATGTTATTGAGCGTTGTTGTGGCGAAAGATGATGCTTTTCGATCAAACTAATTTGAACATTTTGTTAGTATTCCAACATTAACTTGGGCCAAATGATCACAGTACTTCTGCGTAGCTCTTAATTGGCCAAGTGAACGAACCTCGCAAAACGCTTTTATTGGATCCCAGCATTCATGACCGATCAGCAGTTGATACCGAAACCGTCCTTTTATTTCCATGTTTCAAACTTCTTTATTGAATATGACGTTGTACACAGACCAAGTTTATCCTCTGTTATGAAGGGACAGTGGAAAGATGGCCGTGGAAATAGAGTTCAGACTATACAGTCGGTCGAAAAGTCTGGAACGCATACACCGAATTTCGACAAGTGTGGAAGAATGAAGCCAACTTGTTTTCATTTAGTCGCTCAACAGTTTGCTCAATCAAAATATGTGGTTACCACTGTTGCACAAATATATTCATTATCAATGCCAGAACAAAGTTTATCGCCTAGACTGAAGTCACCGTCTTTAAAACAATTAAAATACGTTTTTGATGACCGTGAAACAGGAGAGAGATCCAAACGAACGTTTGTTGCAGGTCCAACGACCACTGCTTTCGTAAACTTATAAAACATGATGTAATTTTTCAATTTCCCTTTTGAATACTTACACAGCACAAAAACTGGTTTAAATAAACAATTATCAGAGGTGCTTCAATGACAGTCAGGTGATCGGATGATCACAAGAAACATCAGCTCGGTCAACAGCGTATGCAAATCAGACACGAGGTCATGTAACCAGTGTGCAAAAGCACGCATGACAACGATTGTTCGTAAGCGAGAATAATCGATGTGCTATCCTGTCCTGGTAGGGTAGACCCCTTAATCTGACCAATCACATGCAGGCACAAATGATGAAGACGTGGAACGAGATTTGAAACAGCGAATTGTAACTTAAGGCTAACAAAGACTACTTTGACCAAATCTTCAACATGCGTCCACGTCATCGTGCTGGCAACGAAATCAAAACTCATCTTACTTGGAAACCATAGTGACGAGGAGGTCATTCAAATTGGCGAGAATGATCTGCCGTTTGTCGGGATTGAGGTCGAGAGCCTCCTCCAGACGCTGGACGTTGTTGGCGGTGAGTTGGAGGGCGTGTTGGTGACCGTAGGTCTCCTGCAGGATGAGCGCGCGCTGGGCGGCTGTCGCGTAGTCGTTGTAGAGCAATTCGATCACCTCGGCGGCGTGTTTGTGGCGCAACATCTTGGCCACGTGACCCCGAAAAATCTACAGAGTGAAAACGTGGCTAAAATAAGGTGCACGAAACTCGGTTTCATTCCTCCTAAGAAAGTTTGCAAGAAATCCTGTGTCTTGCAGTTTCGATCTATTTAGAACATCATTAGGGCCTTGCAGTCCCTCGTGGCAGCGATGCCCTTTTAGAATGGACTCGAAGACATCGTTTGAAATTGATAGGGTGTACCTTGAAGAGTTCTAGTCGGTGCTCCTTGGCACCGTAGTTGATGAGTTTCAGGACAACGTGCTTGGCGTATTGGGACATGGCCAGGTAGCGCAGGCGGTCCTTCAACTCGGCGAAAATGCTCCAGCGTTGTGCCTCCGTGCCCAATTGGATCATCGACTCAACAATGCGCGATGTGTCTCTTGCTCGGCAGAGGTCAACTAACTTGCCCTGGAAAGAAGCGTAAATATTGATGATGTGGATTCGAATAAAAGTGGACAACTTTGCAAAAACCAGTCAACAAACACATCATCGAATTGCGTCAGTGTAAAAAAACAATGTATACGGATGATACGGGTGAAAAGGGTTACACACACCTTTGTTGCGACAAGCATTTTTTCGACAAGATCGTATTTCTTCTCAGCTGCCGTCTCGTCTCGACGCAGAACTTCCCAATCGGCAAGAAGGGTTGGCACAACATCAGCGTGTTTCTTGGCCTTAAGTCGTGCCTCTCGTCTCTCCTTTTTTGTAAAAACACCTAAAGGTTGCAATTATAAACATTTCACGACCAAGATAAGACAGGTTGATGCTAGTTCAGTTACTCCAGGACTGGGTCACAAGTTAGTCACGGCTGAGATGGTAGTAGTAATAAAAGCCTTGCGAGCTACAAAATCACCATGAAATAACACTGAAAACAGAGGGACAGGTCGATGCATCAAAGTAAAATGCACAATTAGTGGGAAGAAACTCACGCTTTTTCTTTCTCTGCAATAAATAGATAAAAAATTCATTAAATTAAACACAAATTGTGTTAAATAAAACAGCATAATTTATAAACGAATAAATAATGAGAAAGGTTATTTGAATGGCATTAAAAAGAACACAAAAATTTTGCCCACCTCACTGTTTTTACCCTTGATTGGACGATTTTTTGTCGAAGTTTCCTTAAAAAATGGAAAAAAACAGGGTTATCACGACGTTTTGAAAACTTGAGAAAAAAACGATTTACCATATCTTGATTATCCGGAAAGACGGAATCGTCTACCTAGAGAATGGAAAAACCATGTAAGCAATGACATTGCTTAAGCACTGCCAGCTATTAACTCAAAACGTACTTGGGTGAACGCGGTTTCATGTTTTGATTTTTTAGCAAGATGATTCTTCTTTTTAGTCTATAAATTATTTGATAAAAGCGGGTTTGTGACTCACTACCGCATGATCGTAACTTGATTTGCCTATCAAGGTAAAACGGAAGATTCGTTAGTATCAGGTAAAGGGGACAAAAAGAAAATCGAATACCAGATGTAGATACCTGATACTGAATGTGCAGTGAGAGCAGGCTTCTTCAAAATGCCTTTGAGGGCCTAGATGGGAAATTTGGTTGTTAAAAAATTGAGGTGAGCACACATACCTGTTTAGGAGTTGGCGGGGTAGATACGGCGTCTGTAATTTTTAAAATGTAAACCAAATTTGGAATGCTTACTGCGCCCAGACTTCATCTTTGTAGTTTTCTTGGTAGTCCCGACATTAGACTAGAACGTAAAAAGAAGGCAGCAAGAAAAACAAGATGATGTACTTTGTTTAAGAACGAATTAACATATAAACGAGAAACTAATAATTGAGGAAGGAATTAGACGGGCATGACAAAATAACCAGCAATTTCCTAATCTTTCGTGAACAATTACGTCATCAGATCATAAATATGTAAATATAAACGCATAGTTGAATGACGAAATACACAAACGGAAGGAGTAAAAAGGTGCTATTGTCACACGACAAAAGCTATTGACTTTAAAGCCCTTCTGCTGAAAAAAAGGATCTTTTAAGTGAGCTCTCAAATATTTGAAGAAAAGGCTAACAGATTTAAAACCGAACTCTATCCACTGAAAACGGCACTCTTACCTCTCTAGTCTTCGATATCATTTCACTACACGTGCAGAAAGTTCTCCGCACACCACAAAATTACTAATGTACCAATCAGAGGAAAAAAATCTTTAACTACATGACTATTGGCTTATTCACATGATGCGCTAAAAGACGATATTTAATGCAAATGATTCTTAATTTCGCAGCCGATTCTGCTTGTCAGCACACTTAAAAGTATTTTTTTAGCATATTTACCTATACTTTACTAGTACTGAAAAGGAGGTGTGTCGCAACACGTAGTGCCGGTGCAAATATTATGGTATCTGAGCCATGAAGCTACATACGCTGAAATGAATTGTCGAACATATATTTTTTTATCTTCCCATTTTTTATGCGAGTTATGCATGAATAATTGATTCTAACAGCATAAAACACTAGATTTGCCAAAAATGTATTTAAGCGCTACCTAAAATTGGACCGTCAATAAATTCTAAGTTTAGTCGTGTCGTTTGTGAACACTGAAATGTGGCTGAAGCATAATTGTTTCTCGAAGATTCCTTTGGTGCATAAGACTGTATCATCTCAAACTATTTGTAGATCAAAACAAGGATTAATTACACATGACATGGAGTTGCAATTACGGCCATGTTACTTCTGGCCGCTTCAGTATTAGGTAACTTGGAGGCCTTAAGCTATCATATACATAATCGTCGAGTATGGGTACACTTTTTTGAATGTCATTAGCTGCAAACTTTTTTGTACCGTTGGTACCTAATGTAACCTCTTTTTTTCTCTGCCGTTTATTCAATGTCCGCGTGGTCATTCCCAGAAATGTTGAAATTTCCTTTCTTCCCCCGCCGCATTCGTCGCAGCAATCCACACTACGACACTTTCCTCGACATGAGTGCCTTGTGTCCGATTATTATAACAGTTCTTTTGTCTCATGTGAGCCAGAGGTAGCTTTGACCTGGCTGACTCGTAAGACCGACGCAGTTGGTATCGCACATCGGCCACGTTAGCCGGCTGGTTTTGGATCAGTGGAGGAGTGCACAGTAGACCTATTGGCCAGCAGACATGATGATAGTATCATCACACTGATTTAATGCACATCTATCGATGCGCTGTCTTAAAAGCATTGTTTGTTCGACTTGCTTATTTTCTTGGGGGTAATATGGTGTAGTACAGCTTTTGTGGTTGCCTAACAAATCGCGCCATTTCAAAACCAACGAATTTTTAAGCTGTCTACCTTTTTCTGTATAAATCTGTTAGCTACTGACACTATGTTTACCTTGTGGAGGGGTACGGCATTTAACCACATTGTAAAGTGGTCAACCATAGCTAAAATGTACTTGTTACCACTAGCCATCTGTTTGAGGAGCCTTATGAAATCTAAGCCAACAACTGCATTTGTATAACCTGCTGTCATGGGATGGGGTGATGCTATAGTCATGAGAGGTGGGACATAACCTCACCATCGCGGTGGCAACTCATTCAAACATTATTTACATCGTCGCGCGTGGCTGGTCACCAATATCGCCTACGGGCACCTGGCTTAACGTTTGCTGGTCCTAGGTGGTCCAAACTGATGTGTAACTCGGTCACAATTTACTCCACGTCGGACCTTGTCACTACTACCCGAAAAAGGTGCAATGGTCCAAACTTATAGTAGAGAACACCATCACCAAAACTAAGATTATCTCATGCAGACCAAAGCAATTGAGCCGCCTTAAATTCTCAACCGTACTTTGCTCCATGGAAATGGTGATTTTTTCTGCGGTGTATTCCGGAATCCTGGACAGTCCATCTGCAGTCTCGTGCTTTTTCCCGAGGGCGATTCTCAACTCAAGAGTTGAATTTGCTCAGCACCTTCAATCATCTAACACTAATGCGCGAACGTTCCTTGAATATACATAACCACTTCAGAGCTTAAATATGCGTACGTACAACAATCTCGTTACTCTAAGAAAAACTTTAAGACCAGCGTTTCACGTTTAGTAGTGCAAAAATTGAAACTCAGCTTTTGATAAAGCTCTGCTGATAAATTCTATAAGGTGTTCTGAATCATCAGATTGAATTTGCAAAAGTACCGACCTAGTCGCCCTGTTTGACGCATCCGTGTCCAATATGAATGGAGGATGGTCCTTTCCACGATGGAAAAGGCGACGACCAGGGCTGTCAATAGGTCGCAAAATGCGTTCATTTCTCCTATTAAATCCCTTTTTTAGAGACTACAAATGCCAAAAATTTAAATAACCCTCGCAGTAGTGCATGTTACTCCGGTTTAGGTTTAAGTTTAGTCCCACGAAATTTCTCAAAGACATCACTCAACCGCTTTATGAACTGTTTGATTTCTTTTGCGTGGATGATTTCATCGTCCATATAAACCAAGCACTACTGCGATACTAGGCTACAGAGGACAATGTTTATTAGTCACTAAAACCTTGCAGGTGCGTTAGCAAGTTTAAAAGGAATAGTTTCAAATTCGGATAGCCCGTAAGGAACTACGAACTCCACCTTCTCTCAATGGACTGGGTTGATTTAGATTTGCCAGTTGCCCGATTTAGGATCCTAGGTTGAAGAATTTATTGACTCTCATAGGGCTTCTAACGCAACGTCCATCAGCGTTGTAGAGAAACTATATTCCAGTGACCTCATTTACTTTCGATAAACTGCACATTACCTAGTAGCACTGTCTTTAATTTTGACGGCAGTGGTAGGCAATACCCATGGAGAAGACAAGGGTTTGATGATTATCTTCTGCAAAATATCTGCAATAACCACCTCAGCTGGCTGCTGACATGCCACAGATATCCATCGAGGTAAATGTCGAACATGGCGTGCCTCTGTTGTGTAAATTTCATGCAGGGTCACACTTGTTTGACCAAAGTCTTCCCTATCCCACTTAAAAACATCCGCACATTCTCGGAGCAGCTGAGTAAGATCCAGCCCCTTGCTGAATGACTGTGCGCTCACCAGTCGGTTCAGCTCCTCTGAAGTCGGGTGTGTTTTGCTGCAATCGCCAATAAGAACCCGTTACTCTTTTCGTACATTACTGGTATTTCATGGAACCCTAGGCATAAGCATTGCTGTGGTCGACTTCATTCGCCAGCTTAACTGTCGTAGAAGTCTGATTCCATTATACCATCGTGTGGCATGTCTTAACATTAATATAAAATATGCTGGTACAAACTACCCAAATTAGTGAGTAAAGCATCCACACATAATCTACTACGTATCACAGTACCATTTGTGGCCTTAGCGGTAATTGGCGACGTCACAGGCCTGGTTCGAACGTCTTCTGGGGGAACTGCTTTTGGTTGACAACGAGAATCCAGCACTCGTATCAGCTAGAAAATACATTAACCTATCGCATCACCTTTAGATATGAAGAGCCTGGTACCAGCGCAAGACGCATGAATGACGGGCCATAAAATTGACGCATCTGGAGGCTTAGTGAAACTTTCTCTCCGTCAAAAGGTTTGCCTCATCAAAAGTTTTCCGGATCCTGTAAATCGCCGTTCTTGGAACCTCTTCGTTTGTTATTTTGGAACATGGCGTGGTTAAGCCTAAGTGAACAACTAGACTCTGTTATTTTAGGTCCGGATCAGACATGGGAGCCTCCTTTACTTCTGCAATTGACCGGGTCGCAAGTCTCGGACGGCGCACGGAGATCTCAGGGTAGCGTATGCTACCGTTAGGGTCTCCTGCGACAACTCTGGATATGTTTTAATGACCGGCTTTTGTCACTGATTATCAATCTGCTGCAGCTAAGTTTAAAAAAAAATTTGAAACCACCTCAAAGGCTAAATATACAAATAATTCGCTAAGTTGTTCAAATGTGTATCTGCAA